GGGAAAGATTTCAGTCTCTCCTCTCTACTGTAGTCAAACCCAGGTCCACACCAGTGGCATCCACCCTATTTTCACACCCCTTTTGGTGTACCTGCAGCTGGAAAGTTTGAATGACTTCTTTCTCCAAATCATACATGAATTTTCCAAGCAGAATTTCTGTTTCTGTTTTTTCATCCAGTCCCTAAAATCAGAGTAGGGAGAGGTTTACGGGAAAGAGATGTCACAGTGGGTGCTGGGTAACACTAGAATGCACAGTGATTCCATGGGTCCCTTAAACATGTAACTGTAGTTAAGAGGAAAGAATTGTGACTTCTGGAAGCCACACAGACATCTCCAGAAGTTAAGAGGAAACTGGTGTTGACCCAGGATGAGAGCTCTGTCCTATGAAGGAAGGCCCACCTTTGAGTTAATCTTGCAGATGGATGAATTGCAAATGTGATATGCCATCCCATATTCAGCAGTGTGCAAGGCAAGGCCAGAATAATGGTCCTGACTTCTCAAATCTGTGTGCGCCCTCCCAAGCAGGATTGTGATGATGATGATGATATAGATGTAAATTTTGTGGCAAGAACTAGGCCTGTGCGAGTCGGCAGCGATCCAATTCCACTTCGGATCTGGCCACTTTGGATGGCCGCGATACGATTTGGAGCTCTGGACCGGGTTTCCACCTCAATCCGGTCTAAGAGGCTCCGAAGCTTTGGAGCCGCCTAGGAGATGCGGCCATAGGGTATAATGGGGAATCAATGAAATATCTATAACTTTGTTGTTTTTTGTCCAATTTGGATGAAACTTGCAGGGATGACGGCCTCTGCTGAGAGCATGAAACTTGCCAAGTTTCATGCAGGGGTTTGGGGGGAACTGTACCCCAAATTCTTGAAAGCCAAACTCCTGTCACGGCTGTGTGTTACACCACAGGGGGTCGAAACTGCAGGGGCAGTAGCTCTTACTGAGGCCACAAAGCCTGCCAAGTTTCAAGGAGATCGGTGCAGGGGCTTGGGGGGAACTGCATCCCAAGCTGCAGACAAGCAAAACTTGTGCCATGGGTGACACTGCGTGTGTTAAGGCGCAGCGGGGTGACAGCTGCAGGGATGGTGGCCCCTGCTGCAGCCACTTCTTTCCTCTCCTTAGCCTGGTTTTGTAGGTGCTAATTGATGCTCGTTAAGTTGTTATGTAGTAGCTAGGTCCTGTGTATTGAGCTGGTCTCCGAGTCCCTGGTCCCTGAGTGAATCATGGTTGATTGATTGGTAACTGGTAACAAGGCAGCTTAGCAGCCAGGCCTGCAGCAGTGTCTCCCCTCCCCACCCCAAGACAGACACAGTCAGTCCCACAAGCACCCACGGCACCAGTTTTGTTTGTCCGCAGTTGGAGGGGCAGTTCCCCACAAGCCCCTGCACTGATCTTCTTGAAACTTGGCAGGCTTTGTGGACTGAGCAAGAGCTACCACCCCTGCAGTTTTGATCCCCCCCCGTGTTATAACACATAGACATGACAGTTTTGCTTTCAAGAGCTTGGGGTGCCATTCCCCCCAAACCCCTGCACCGATCTTCTTGAAACCTGGCAGGCTTCATGCCGTCTGCAGAGTCTACCACCCCTGAAAATTTCATCCAAATCGGACAAAAAACAAAGTTATAGATATTTCATTAATTCCCCATTATACCCTATGGCCAGATTTCCGAGGCGGCTCCGAAGCTCTTCGGAAGCTCCGAACCACTTTGGGAAGCCGAACGAGGCCAGCGCTTTGACCCAGATGTGCTGCTTCGGACCCCAAAGCATCCAAAGCTTCTCCGGAGCCAAAGCTCTGTCCGAAGCCTCGCACAGCCCTAGTAAGAACAGGAGGAGGTTTACTTATAAAGGGATGGAACTTGACAATATCTCACTTAAGATCCAAATTTCATATAATATCTGTCCTATGGTATCTGGTCCTTTATCTGATCACTAATGAAACAAGAGGCAAGGAACAGGAAACATGAGACTGCAAATAAAGGGTCTCTCTTGCCTTACATCATTGTCAAATTCTGTGTGACATAACCCTGTCAACAAGAATGGCCAGCTTATGTAATAATTCAGGTTTATTTCTTAAATTACATTATCATTTTTTAATGAATGTTCCTAAAACCTCATAAGCTAAGCAAAGTTGGGATAGGGCAAAATACTTGAGTGAGAGATTTCTAAGCATCACCTGTAGAATGGGTAACTTGTTTAGTAGGGCACCTCCCTGAGCTCCTAGTGCTGATCTGTCTCATTGCATGGTGCTGTCTTGTGAATAAAACTTTACATCAAAGTCTTCACCATTTGTGGTCTTTGAAGATGCTTCTTGAATACGTACTTATCCTTACTCCAGCATCCTGACAAAACTACAGCTGGAGTAATTATATCCTTCCTACTAAAGGGGTTCTGCAGTTTCAGTTGAACTGTCCTAAAACTGCTGGATAGTGCTGCTGTGTGAAGCTAAACAGCTGTTGCTTTCACATCCAGATGGATGCAGTTATTCTTTTAAATGAGGGGTGTTCAAATCCTGGCTCATGGGCCACATCTGGCCTGCAGAGCCATGTCATCCAGCCTGCAGGGATCCCCATGAGTCCCAAAATTTTGCAGCAGAGTGGTGGCAGTTAACTGCTGCTCCCATTGCCAAATCTCCAGACCCATGGGCATTGGCACTACCTCCATGGGTAATCCAGGGCTCCAGCACCCACTGAAAAAAATTAGTGGATGCTCAGCACTCACAACCCAGGCCCCACAAAAAACAGCACGTACCAGCAAAATCCCAAGTCAGTTCCTATGCCCGCAGGGAACTCCATGGGCTGGATAGCATGGCCCTGCATGCTAGATTCTGTATGCAGGACTGACCACAGTAGTGCAGGGCCCAATCTGGGTGGTGTGGGGCCAGGCAGAGGTGGCTCAGGGCCTGATCCATCCCATGGATTGGCTCTGTGCCACTTATCCGGCCTGCAGTACCAAAAGGTTCAGCACTGCTGTTTTAGATCCTTCATCTACGGCAGAAGGCTGTTGTAAATCTTACTTGGACAAGACTTGTGATGCACTTTGGGCACTTCAGGGAGCTAAATGTGATGGCCAAGGAGATCTCTTCTAGTCCTATATTCTTACAAATCACTAGATTCTTTGTACAGTGTTAGTAGTGCTAACATTCCACCTCTTGTGTGAAGAATTCCCCTAAACAGGTGTCCTGCTGTGTAGCAAACAGGCCTGAAAACTTTGCATCCAGACCATCCAAAGCAAGTATCCTGTCTGGACCCTGCTATCCATAAAATTCAAAAGTAAATACTCACGTAGACAGCAAAATCCTTGGGGGCGCTTGTTACTTCCCCAGAAGGAGAGATGGCCTTGGAGATGTGCTGAATTGTCACAGCAGTTGGTTGGATTTTCTCAGGCAGCTTAATTACCACCTGGCCCTGAGATCCTGGGAAAGCCCAGCAGCTTCCAGGGCTCACATCTGGCTGGAACCAGAAATCAATCCAAATTAATGGTACCAGGGCAACACACCGAACGTACACATGCAGACAGTGGGAGGCACAAACATTAAGATGGTCTGTTCTTTGAGTATTTCTCTGGTTAATGATTCTATTCAATTCTATCTGCCTGTCTTCAGTAAGGAAGACATTGATACTTTACAACAACACTAAACGTAGATCAAACCTGAAAAGGCTTTATTACAGATCAAGGGAAAATTTATTTTTTCACTCACACCTTCTACTTCTTACCCTTACCTACTGGTATCTTGTTCCATTATTGTTCAAATATTTTTTTTGAGAAACCCCAAGCCAAAATCAGCCCTTCTGTAACAAAAGGTGACTCCATCACAATAAATACATTTCCCACTTTTCTCCCTACATCTGAATTGAGGAACCAAGACTTATTTTTAAATCGGGTCAGAAGTCCTTCGAAACATAACTTTTAAAAGCAATGATCTGAATCAATGGAAGGGGATGTAATTTTAAGTGAATCAGCTAAATACAAATACTCTCAGGATGTGAAGGCAAAGAAAGAATATCCACAATGAAAGGTTTCCTTTGAGCATGTGATAGTTTTGTTTGACTATCTGCATAGTGGGAGCAAACAATTTCTACTAACTACAGTTCTGCTACTAGATTAAGTGGACATAGGGAACTGGTGAAGGTCACTGTGAAGTCTTCAGGGTAGTATACGCAGAAGGTCACTCCTGATAGTCCTGATTTCCCTTCCCCACCCAGACAATCTATAGGGCTTAAAGGCAATTACTTGATTTCTCCCCCAGCCTAGAGGAAGAAGCAGAATTATTGTCATTGATTATTTAGCATGATAGTGCTAGTGTCACTGCTGCTTTAATAGGGCATTTTATAGGGAGGGTTTTTTTTTTAGTATTTCAGGTTTTGTTCCTTTTAATTTATTTTATCTGATATACATGCTGCCCTTCCTATCAAAGGCTCTAAGCAGCTTACAAACAGAATAACTTAAAAACAGAAGAGCAACAAGAGAAGAACAGCAACATAAAAGGGAACTAGAACATTAAGATAAAACAGAAAGCCCCCCCCACCTAAACAACATCTCCTCTAGTTGTAGGTGAGGTTTCAAAGTGGCAATATGGGGGAATCCTTCAGTTAAGGAGTGTCTGTAAACATGGGGGAATCTACTTGTGGTCTCAGGAAGGCTTTTCTATTTCAATGTTACTATTTCTATTCCAGTGATACCAAGACACCTTAATACTAAGTCAGGATCTCATTGTGCTAATCAATTACAGGAATCCAGGGAAATGCAGCCATTACTATCATATCTTACTGTTTTAAGAGCCAGACCAATACCCACAAAAGCCAACAATTTATTTTAGTAAGGCAAGTAGTATATGAAGGGTAAGGAGGGAGAAACATTGAGATATGTGTTTGTTTACATGTCTTAAACACAGGGCTTCCTTTTGTATGTGAAATTAACATGCAGGAGAAGAATCCCATTGGCTTCTGTGGGCTTTGGACTGGACCCTAAATTCATCTCTTCTATTCCATGACTGTCCCTCAACTTAACCTTAATTAACTTGCTAAAGTAAGCGTAGGTCCTTCACTGAAGCAGCTCTTGAGAAGAGAGCTGAAGGAAGATATCTAAATCTAAAGCAGTACAAGACAATCCACAAAGCAGATGAGGGCTATACCTGTAAAATAGTATCTGGAGGATTTGCAGAAGACAAGAATGATAAACTAAACCAACTGTCTTCTTCATTCCTGGGTTCATAACTCTTAGATGTTCTGCTTGCATCAATGGTAGCACCTGAAATTAAAATAGAGACCTCAGACAGTGTTAAGCAATGGGTTACAAGGTCTGTCTAATGCTACCTGGAGACCATCCATTTATCCATCCCATGTTTGCCATTTAAGTACCTGAAGAAAACAGTAGATACAATATCTTCTGGCTATGCCCTGTAACAGTGGGATGGGGAGGACATCCCATGGCACTCTGACATAACATGGGATAAATGACAGATAGATATCTATTATGTCATACTTGTAAAGAAAACCAAGATCTCTCCATGAACCTTTAGCTAAGTGCACAGGATAGCTTCAGGAAAGCTGCTGCACAGGAAACAAATGTCCCTAATACTGTATTTGTAAAAGTTTACACCACTGGTACCAGAGGCTGACTCCACCTCTGACTTCCTGTTTGATCAAATGCAGGTCATGTAACCTCTCTGTGCTTAGCTTCTCTGATTGGCAAAACAAGGGTATTAACACTTTTGTAAAAGTGCTATATAACACCAGAATGCCATTAGCATTGACTTGACCCAGCTTTACCTATTGTTTTCTGGGCCCAGTCAGGCATCTGAACATCATCCTCATAAATCTTCTTAAATTGTGAATTTATCATCTCTAGCACATGCTGGGGAAAAAAAAGAAAGCATAAGTTAATGAAAGGAAAGATATTTACAAACCACACTCACATGTGAGCAATTTAATATGTAATGTGTCATAACATAGAGAAAGTGAAATATGAGGTATCAATCAGAAAATGAAGCTAAATTGCATGCTGGTAAATTCCCAGAAACTGTCACAGACTTCAGAGGCTGAGCTGAGGGACCTAACTGTAAAGCCCTGCACTGCTACCCCAGAGACCTGACCTTGGTTTCCACATCACTGACCCATTCTCCAGCCAACCAGAGCAGTACCTAGGCAACACCGTCTGGGAATGAGGAGAAGCATTTCTCACTGCTCAGCCATGATACAGATAGGCAACTTAGAAGAGGCACCAACATGTTCCAAAGATAATCTCTCCAGGCACACACTTACCAAAGCTGAAATATCTGTCCTCTCTATAACACCTTTCATAGATGACCCTACAAACTTCACTTCATAAGTTTACTGGATACAAAAAATCATGGAATAAATATAGACATTGGATTTATGGCACATTATAACCTGTCTGACATCTGACAACCCCAGGTAACCTCTCAGAACGCACACCAGAAATCTATCAAAGACAGGAACACCCAATTACCAGTGGGGGCACATTTCTCACAAGAAAACCACTCTCTCTCCAATCTCTCAGTTCTAATCCTCAAAGGAAACTTACAAAACACTTCCCAGAGATGAGCCTATGAACTCCACTTCATCAACCTCCTGGACACTAAAAAACATGGACTAAATATAGACATTGGATTTATGACACATTATAACCTACCTGACTCCCCAGGTATCTCTCCATTATTCATCCCCTTTCTCTCTCTTCCCCCCTCCCCAGCCTGTCTCTCACCCACTGACTCCTCAACCTACATCTTCACTGACTACCTGTCTTGTATGCATACCAGCCCAGCCGCTGGCTTCTTTACTTTTCATTCCATCCAGGAAGAGCACACACCAACTGCTGAAACTTCCTTAGCCTGACGAAGGGTTTTTGAACCTGAAAGCTTGCTTAATAATTGTTTTCCAACTATTTAAGTTGGTCTAATAAAAGATATCAGATTCTCCCAGAGAACCTTGTCTGCCTATGTCCTTAGGCCAACACAGCTACAATCTACACCCAGGTAACCTCTCTACATTTTACCAGCTACATTCTAACACCAGGTCAACATTCCTCCTTTCCCCCCACACCTACCCATCTCACTCCTATTGTCTCCCATTGCATCTGATCGGCTTCCTCACTGCCAAGCGTTTGTATTTTCACAGACCTGAATTTTGCATATTGGCTTCTATTCCACCCAGGAGAGCACACAAAACACCAGCAGACTCTCCCTATGGCTGAAGAAGGGTGTTTGTGCCTGAAAGCTTGCAAAGAACACTTGTTCCAAGTACTTAGTTGGTCTAATAAAAGACACCCCATCTACCCAAAGAACCTTGTCTGCTGAAAGTAATCTCATTAATTCCTCAGCATGCAAAGGTGACTTTGAAAATGGTTTTTAAGTCTAAGCAACCCAAAGTCAAAGGGAAGGTTTTGGCAAAGACCTAGCACAGTCATCACGCATGTGAGCCCTTTAACTGATTCTGGAGCTACACGACAGAGCTGTAGCAGGCAAAGGATGCCAAACTGCTTAAACAGGCTGATGTGACATAAAAAAGCAGAGAGCTACATTTACATTTCAAAATGAGCAGCAGCTACTTGGTTAACATGTGTGAACATTAGGCACTATAAGAAAGGCCTATAAGTAGTGACTGATGTAGCCAAATGTATGTATGTACTTTGCTATAATAAATGTATTTTGTTAAAATGGTTAAATAAGTTGCAAGAACAAACCAGACTTATCAGACCATAAACTAATGTACAGAGGTAGCAAATTAGTGTAAATGGGAAGGAAAAGGAAATAAGAAAGTTTTTTTTTGGTCCTTTTTGCTTTCTCAAGGATATAAATTTTAACTAATTGGCATTTTTCTGGTCCACAAAAGATCCAGTTTAATCCCGTTCTGAACGTTTCAGTGAATTAAAGGAAAAAAAGGATAATTTGCTTGTGATTTTCTAGTTGGTCTAATAAAAGGTATCATTTTGGAACCAAGAGTTCTAGTTTTTTGTATGTCTTTTTGTCTAAGACCAGCATGGCTACCAAGTACACCCCTGAAACATGGAAGATGCCAAATTTTAGCTGATTTTGGATTTTAAACTTCATTGCAGAACAAGAAGGATGATTTTATTCCTTCCCTGCCGTCTGACACCTCCAGGGATGGAATTCTACCTGATGTGCACATCAAAGAGCTACCTAGCACAGGTCACAAAAACACTCTCATGGACCCAGAGGGACAACCTTCTATCTCCAGCTCCCTCTGTGCAAAAATTAATTTATTTCCTACCTACGGGTACTTTTTATCATCTTGTACCATCTATACTTTTCCGAGAGCCTGACAAAGGGACTTTGATCCCAAAAGCTTGCAGAAAAGGACAGTTTTCTTGTGATTTTCCAGTTGGTCTAGTAAAAGATATCATTTTGGAACCAAGAGTTCTAGTTTTTTGTATGTCTTTTTGTCTAAGACCAGCATGGCTACCAAGTACACCCCTGAAACATGGAAGATGCCAAATTTTAGCTGATTTTGGATTTTAAACTTCATTGCAGAACAAGAAGGATGATTTTATTCCTTCCCTGCCGTCTGACACCTCCAGGGATGGAATTCTACCTGATGTGCACATCAAAGAGCTACCTAGCACAGGTCACAAAAACACTCTCATGGACCCAGAGGGACAACCTTCTATCTCCAGCTCCCTCTGTGCAAAAATTAATTTATTTCCTACCTACGGGTACTTTTTATCATCTTGTACCATCTATACTTTTCCGAGAGCCTGACAAAGGGACTTTGATCCCAAAAGCTTGCAGAAAAGGACAGTTTTCTTGTGATTTTCCAGTTGGTCTAGTAAAAGATATCATTTTGGAACCAAGAGTTCTAGTTTTTTGTATGTCAGTGAACCAAAGACATTTAAATAAAACCAATCAGGGATCATTTATTAGAATATTAAGATTTACCAGCCATCTATAAAAAGTAGGTGTAGACTGCAGGGGAATTTGTCAAATTCTATGTGACACCTGATGGACTGTTTGCCTGCT